AAGGATTTGACAAAGACAAATGGGAGGAGATTGAAAAGTATTTAAAACAATAAATAATATTGATGATATTTTTAACTGGATTTTATTTAGTAATTTTTTTTTTGTATTGTTATATGTCAATATTTGGAAAATTTTGTATTAGTTTTTATAGGTTATTAGATTTGAAAAGTAAAATTGTTATGTGAGATGGTTTAATACAAATCACAATTAAAATATAAAACTAATAAAATTAATAATTATTATAATATAAATAAGGAATTTTTTTTAAAATTCTTCAACGGATAAAAATGTTTCAAATTTTAATAATTTTAGTTATTATTTTATTTTTATATAAATTCTATAACCTTTTTTCATTATATCTTTTTTATAAGAAACAAGGAATTGAAGTTTTGGTATTTGACGATGTGAAAAAACATACATCTAAAGATCATGATTTTATTGCAGTTTTATCAGGATTATCAATTCAACTTTACGGGATGAATAAAAAATCTTGTGAAATAATAAATAGACAACATGGAATTAATATAGAAAGAAAAAGTTTCGCACCGTTTATTTCATTTGGATCTAATTCTATTTCTTTTACAACATCATCTGATCCATATTTTAAATTACGTAAAAAAATTTTAATATCTTCGATTAATAATAATATTGAAAGATTATATCAAGTTTCTTATCAAGAAGTTACTAGTTTAATTAAAAAATTCAAATTAAAATCAAATTTAAACATGTTGGAAATACTAAATGAATATGTTGAGAATGTTACTAGTGAATTTATGTGGGGTAGTAGTATTATATCAAAATATCATACTAATTTTTTAGATAAAGAATATAAATCAAAAAGCTTACCTATTATACGGGTTTTAAATCAGGCATTCCACGACGTTTATACATATAAAAATAGTAATTTATTATATGTACCAATAACAAAAGAATCACGACGAGTTTTAAATAATATCACACAAATACGTAAGAGTTTTAAAAAAATGACACGAGATTTGATAGATAATTTCTGTGGAAAAAATTTAATTAAAGATATGGTTGATAAGAATCTTCAATTGGGTATATCGTTAGAAAAATTATATGATGATCTCATTATAACAACATCATCGGGATTAAATATAGTTAAATTAATGATTATGTCAATTATTTGGCATTTATATGAGGAGAAGAATAGAAAATGGCGCAACATACTTTATGACGAAGTTAAAATATTAAATGAAGATGGCTTTGATTATACAAAATTAGCAAGTCTTTCAAATTTTAACGCGTTTATATCTGAGGTGATAAGATATGAATCATCGTTTTCATTTTTAAATAATTACACAATTAAAGATTTTGAAATGGTTATTGGTGAAAAAGTTTACAA